GCAGACAGGTCACTCGACTCCATTGCCTTTATATGATTATTGGTGGCCTCTCTAGTGGCAGTCTTCATTCACATAGATGACCTGCTGAGATTCAGGTACTCATCTGATCATCTCCCAGTTATTATTCATCCTCTCTCCCCAGCTGAGTTCAGAACGTGACCTGAACCCATGAAACACATGAAGTTGTCAGTTTCAGAAGCTTAAAAAGGGAAAGAAAAAAACGCATAAGTTTAGCTTTTTCTCTACATAATTCAAACTTAGTTACATTATAAATAATTTCTTCTTTCTAATAGAGATTTTAAAGGCTACATCACTCTTGGGATTTGTCTGAAATATATGAAATATAAATTAAGTGATCTAATTAGTCCCTCTATTTATGGTAAGTACACTTTATATGAGCTACAACGATGGAGTTAATCAACATAGACAATTAAATAACAGAATGTTTTTTCCCCCTTTTGCAGCCAGTACTGCCTTGATCTTTTTAAGCATGATTCTAGTAGATCCTTGAAGGTGTAATGTAGTATCTGGCAACAAGATGCCTGAAGCAGACTCTTTAGGTTAGCCTGTTTACCCTCTGCCTGTAGTGCATACTGATATAATGAGTTTTCTCTCAACAATGAGGATAGAAAATTATAATGGATACTGGAAACAAACCAGTTTTACTCTAAACAATTTGAAGTATGTGCCTTTTACTCTGTGTAGTCATTTTAAAGAACAGTATTGAAGAAGAAACATTAAAGTCTAATTCTCACATGCAGAAGAATATAAGAATATTTGTAAGCTATTTATCCGTTCAGATTCATCCTATTTCTCTTTCAAATAGATCATGCTTATGGTGTATTTCTTTTTTATTTCTATGAAATATTTTTTCTTTCCTCTTTGTTTTTCTTTTATTGTTTTCTTTTCTACAACTACAATGTTTTTTTTAGTCAGGTTTAAAGTGAATATGATTTAAAACTAGATTCTTTAGAACGGCCCCATCATGAGGTCCAGTTCCTACTGTGGTAAACAGAGGTCAGAGATCAGAGTTTGGACACTCTATCTGGAGCTATGTAGCCCCATATATGCCACACTACAGTGCACTGTGTTATCTGGCACCTCTATAATAGACAAGCTAAAGCAGCTTATCTTTCAGATCAGAACCCATTCACCACTTGCATCAATGAGCCCATAGACATAGAGACTGAGTATATACATGGGAGAGTTCAAGACTCCCATCTGTCCCTCCTTTGGACCCATTTTATATATTCTTAGAAACACATCCCACAAACACAACAATGCTGTTGTTCACTTCTACACCCTAACCTGTATATAGATTACTTTCTCTATAAGCAGATAAACATGCTGTATATATTTAAATAGATTTAAGGATGAAACAATCAGTCCAACCTTTTTATTGGGAAAAAGTCTCCCCATGTGCCCATTGTTGGTGAATCCACACCCTGATGTGACTTTTATTTAACACCTTAAAAGCTAAAGATGGATTCCTGGAACATTCCTAAACAATGATCAATTGTGCTGTTAGCGATCTGATTATCAGATCTTAATCCAGATCTTTAATGATTATGCTCTCAAGGAAAATTAGATTGTTCAGTGCCTTACATGAGATGATGGCATAAAAGTTTTGTTGCATGCGTTTAATGTTTTTTATTGTTGTCTGTTTTAGACATTTGTCCCTGACTATTAAAGCCAGAATATGTGGCTTGGTTATATACCTGATAGGATTTGAGGCAGGAGTCAGGTCCGGCTTGTGGACTTGTATAAGAGGAAGGTTATGTCCTCTGCAGCTATGTGCAACTCATTCTACGTCTTCCCCTTGTTTTCAGCATAAAAGCCAATTTATTCTCCTCAGAACAGAAAAATCTGTTCTTTTACTCAAGTTATAAATATTATACATCTGATCCACTGTAGAAAGTACTGACAGCTATGATATTGTAATGCTAAAAAAAAGGAAATCCCTTTGATCTCTACCGGTTGCTACTGTCCTTAGTAGGGTCAGCTGCTCAAACACTTTTTTTTCCTACTGGCTAATCAAACTTAAAGCATTTTCCTTCTAACAATGTACATCTGTTGCTATTGCATGTTGTATGTGTGGTCAGGCTGCAAATCTGTTTCACAACATTGAAAGCTGCAGTTTTGCAGATACTCTAATGTATTCTTATGGCCGTGACATAGTTGTGTTAGTCTTTCTCAGATTCTTAATCTTAATACCTGTTTTTAACACATTAACTCAGAAGACTAAATACTTTTTCTTTGTTTAACAGTTTAAATCAGAAGTTCACACACACTTAATACATTGTACATTGAATCCTCTTTCATATGAGTTAGAATGACCAAAATTATCTCCATTTGCTAAGTTTCGGAATAATTAGAAAAAAATGTGACATTTTTGTGCTACTGTCTTATATCAGATGTTTACATAAACCAGCGTTTAATCAGTTTAAGAAAGCCCTGATTATGTGGTCATGGTTTTGGAAGCTCCTGTCTGATTAAATTACATTAATTAAGGCAATTGGGGGCTGATATGTGGACGGATTTTAAGGCAACCCATCAAACATGCTCTGTGATACCATGGGCAAATTAAGAGAAATCAGCTAAGCTATCAGGGGGTTGTGAACCTCCAGAGGCCCTGAGGTAAAAATTTCCACATGACTGAAGGTGTCACCTTCCTCTTCTCAGTCAAGTATTAAATTTATTTAATTTTTTTTTTTATTTAACCTTTATTTAACCAGGAAAAAATCCCATTGAGATTAAAAACCTCTTTTTCATGGGAGTCCTGGCCAAGAGGCAGCAAAGTTACATAAGAAACAGAGATACATTAAAATAAATGACAGGTACATAAAAAAAAATCAATTAAAACAATTACAGATCATTGAGGCTGCTTCAAATTCTTCCACTTTCAACTTAAAAGCATTTAAAGATAAGACTCAATTTCCAGTTTCTTTGTAAAAAAAATTCCACGTACAAGGAGCTGTGTAGCTGAAAGCTTTCTTCTTAGTTCTGTGCGGGCAAAAGGAACAGTGAGCAACAGCTGATCGTTAGATCTCAGGGCATAAGAGGCCATGCTTTTTGTGTGTAAGTAAGGTACAAATGTAAGAAGGCAGTAATCCAAGAAGGAACCATGACAATGTGTTTAGAAAGACATATTTCTTGTTCCATAGATAAATACAGCAGTCCAAAATAAAAGTAAAACACCTATAAGACATTCGCTGAAGGTAAGAAAGTTATTAACTAGTCCTGTGCCAACATACTCTTAAATGCCACACAGAGATGAAGAAGTTATTTCTGCTTAAAAAAAAAAAAAAAAAAAACAAAGATTGCAAGAGAGGTAAATATGTCTAAAATTTTTTGACACATCCAGTTTGTTTAAATAAAACATGAACAGTGTGGAAACAACGATCACTGCCAGAGTTGGAGGAAAACACATTGATAACTGTAAAGTATAGTAATAGCAGCATCATGCCGTGGGGATATATACAGTAGTTACTACACGGGCAGCTGCATTTCCCAGAACAGAGTTTAAAGAGTAAAAATATGTATGGGGATATAATGACGTAACATTTATAGACTTCAGCCAATATTTTAAAGATTGGGGAAAAAAATTGTCCTGAATGAAGTGTGACCCGAATCGAACTGGTTTGGAACAATTTCCCCTTCACAAAGTCCCAGTCTCAGTCCCTAATGGGCAAAGCTGAGTGGAGGGTGTGAGCAAGGTGTCATATGAATGTGACAAAACCAACTTAATCAGGAGGAACCGACCAAAACCTCCAGCAAAGTGATTGGAATGCTTATGGAAGGAAACTCAAAATCTATAGCCAGGGTCGAAAGGCAGTTTTACCAAATATTCAATGAGAATAGAATAGAATAGAATAGAATAGAATAGAACAGAAAATCCCTTTAATGTCCCACAATGAGGAACTTGTGGTGTTACAGCAGCAAAAGATTATAGCTAATGTGGTCACACAAGTGTTGACTTTAAAAAGGTGTATGAAAATAAGAGAGTAAGTAACAGAGTAAATGTATTTATTTGAAGATGGTAAAAAATAATCTCTCACATTATTGTGACACTGAGCCATCTAGGAACTTTGTGTGTTTGAATGCCATGTATAAACTACATGGTTCCATCAGTATATCCAATCCACTTACAGGTTTCAGCATTAAATTAATTATTTACACTAATTTCACCTGTCAGTGGTTTATCTAAGACAGCCAAAAGGGACTTTTTCAGCTACATCGATAAGTTAAAGAGGACAGCTTTTTAAATTCAGCCACATTCGGATCAGGGAGCCGATTCTCTCTACATATTTAGACATTTCCAGCCTCTCAATGCAATCCGTGAACAGCTGTTAGTGTAATTGCTACACACATTGAAATACCAGAGTGTTCCTGATTCCCTGGATTACAGTACAAAGTATCAAAGCGTCTAATGCACACAGACATATGAAGTGGCAGGCAGACTCTTTCTGGAATCTGTTGAAGTTTGCAAGTTTAAAGCACACAGGGTTTTCTCCCTGGAATCATAGTTGTGAATTTGTCCTCTTTTTTTTTTTTTTTTTTGTTAAGGGAGGGAAACTGCAGGGAATCAGTGGTTGTCAAAATCTTAGAAGTGATATTGTCATACCAGCCGGATGGCCGTCTGGTGTTTGTTTAAAAGGGGAGGGAAGAGAAAAAAAACAGTCCAGGCGATTGAATCATATCTTCTTGCCAATACGTCCTTGCGTTCCCACCTCCATCATTACAGCAACATGTTTTATTTTCAGCAGAGCTGTTCTCAGTGACTCACATCCCAGAGCCATGTGTTGCTCAGTTAGGCCTCAGATCCCTAAAACACAGACCAAGTGGTCAGAAGAAATGCTCTCGTAATGCACCAGAGAGTGCACTCAGAGTACAGCTCATTTTTGGAGTGTTTTGCTGGACTGGAAAGAAAAAAATCTTATGTTTTTTTTTTATGTTAATCCTAATGAAAATCTGTGTTTTGTGTCTTTCTGCACCCTCAGGTAAATGGAATCTTCAGGGTTTCATCCGAAGGTTTAATCTTGAGGATGTGGCTACTTTGCAGTTTCTCACCCAGCACTTCAAGGACTGAAGGATGCTTAAATGCTGCTACCAGAATAAAAATGGGACAGCATAGAATGTTTCTTTATTTTCATAGTTTCCCTTATTTCCATGTATTAAACAGTAGAAATTCTTCAAAGCTTAAATAATCATCTATCTTATCACTGAGTTCAAGAGATGTTTCCTCTCTCTGTTGCACTAGCTAAAGGGTTTTTGATGTCACCCCGTATCTGTGGTCACGTGGTCTGGAGCAAAGGATTTGGGAGATAGATTTTGACTTCACTGGGGATTTCTTAATAGTTTCCGAGCGCGGTCGACAAGAAAAGGAAGACGGACCTGATATCACGACTTAGTGTGGAAAGAGTTATTCTAATTCAGGGGCCGGAAACACGTCAGGGCCAAAAAAAGGAAGTGGGAGGTGAAACCGAGACCGCAGCTCAGCCGGATGCTGCAGTGGAACCTAAACCAAAATACTCTGTAGAGTGACAGGACAAGGAGGCGGGACTTGTCATGCACCAAGTTAAGGGAACTTGCTGTTTGTGTCATTGTTTATCATATTTCCATTGACCACTCTCAACGCAGCTGGAAACAATGAGCTACTTTCAGGTATCTGACTGATTCATCTGAAGTAAAAGTTGATATGTTTAGATGCGCCCTTCAGTATAACTTGAGGACAATGAACCCATCTTGAACTTGAGGGAGTTGCATGAAAGCCTCACCTGGCAGGGCTGCAGAGGATGGTGTGGGTAAACTTTTCAACCCATCCACAATGAAATGCTTTACAGACTTTACCGGTCTTTGTAGAGGGTGGGTCAGAGTACCCCCACACCACCCCATCCGTAAGGAATATTGGTTTCTAACCAGCAACTCTCCTCTGGGGAGGTTTTATATCAATATCCCAGATGTCTGAAAAAGGGTGGATTTACATGAGTGACTTTGATGCTCTGATGATCAATCTTTAGTTGGTGGTTTCATTGACCCTAGTTTGGTGTCTCATCAGTGGGATAGGCAGGAGCAGGTAAGAGAGGTTTTTGTTCCTTTGGTGGATAAGCCATCCTTGGTAACCCCCAATGTGCCCTCTCCATGAACTCTGAAAGATCATTGATCCGTTGTCCAGCATGTGCTTTGTTTGCCTCCCAGACTCAGCAGTCAAAGCACCCAAGTTCACAAACAAAACAACCAAAACGATGCACATGGGCCCACAGTGAGTGAGAGAATCCACCGTTAGAACGCTGCTCCTGACCTTGATTTGCTCGTCTTATTTGACTTATGAAATCACATTTCTAAAACCTGGCAAGCAAAGCATAATTCAGCACTCATTCTGAAGCATGCCAAGTAGGAGAGCATTTTTCCAAAAGACACCTACTTGAATCCATCAGTACAAGACTGAAATGCCAAGGTGAGCACTTCACTTCCAAATGCTTTGGACAAATCCTGCCAAAACAGCTGGGTTTTGCGGCTCGGTTTCCGTCACTGTGTTTATTTTTTACTCCAAATGTCAGAAGCTAAATGTTATGATTAAGAAAAAAAAATGTGAGCTATAGTTGAGTGCTGTGGAGAATATACAATGAGTTTCTCACTTCCCCTGATCATATGACTACAATATTCAAAATATCTTTTAATGAAGTCAAACTTCTCATTCTAATAATCGGTATAGTTATCTGACTGATAAAAGTAATACAATATGCAGGATAATTTTAAAGATTTAATGATTTGTGAAAATACTGCATATAATGAGTTGTGGTAGAATGAATTAGGTGCAACATCTGTTCCGTTGCTTTAGTTTGCATTTGCATTTCTAAATACAAATATTAGATGCCACCTTAATTTCCCAGAAGTTTTAAGTTCTATCTTGTCATATAATCCATGTTTCTGAACATAACTGAACCAGTTCTGTTTTTGGTTGTTTTTTTCATCTACAGATATATTCGTATACCGTTATTAAATGAAATGATAATGAATGTACCATTTTGGTGAATTGATTTGAAAGTTGCAACAAAACATGAAGCTAAATACTTTTGTTGTATTTTTTTTCTGTTTTCACTTTTCTCCAGAAAGTTCTTTGGTTTCTTTTTTCTCAATAAACTCTGCTTGCATGTCTGGCTGTGAATATCTTTATTCTGGATTTTGATGTGTGTCTGCATTAAAAACACACAGCATTGCTTTGCTCTGTTTTGCATACTCCTTCTCAATCCCTGCGTTCTTCTGATGTCTGCAGCCGCTGAGAAAAATAGTCTCTGCATTGTTCAACAACAATTAAATAAGCTATTAAACAGTTTAAGACCAGAACTGTATCTATACATTTAAATGTCTTATAAAGGTTCTGCCTGTTTAGGAAACACCTCACCTCCTATGACCTTTGATGGATATGGGTAACCTCCCTCTGAATCTCCTGCAGTTTAGCACCTGATTCATACAGTGTCCTTTTAATGTATTACTGCTAAACTGAAAAGTTTTTCTTTCACTTAAAGTAGTTTATTTTTGTTGTTTTGTTGTCTTTTAATGTAAAAGTGTTGTGTTCATTTTTTATTTAGTCCCCCTGAGCTGATACTTTGTATCACCTTTTGCTGCAAAGGCAGCAGTAACTTCCTCCACTGTAAATCACCTCTTTCCTTTTAAAGAAACTATATTGCATATGAACTGACAGCTCTGTTCCTCACTCTGTGAGAGCCCCATAATTCTGTGTCCTTTGACTACTGTGATACAAGACATCAGTTGTAGAAGAACAGTGTCACATCCTAACCAATCAATTAATTCAAAACATCTATAAAAGTTTATTTAACCTGGAGATGGTCTCTCAGTCTGGGTCAGCAGGCTGCAGTGCCGTGGGTAAGGACTGCTGCATGGACAGATGTCCAGAATATGGTCACTGACTTCTTCAGAAAGGAGGATAAGAACCAGAAGGTAGTTACAAAATAAGATTTTTCACACAGTTCTATTTCAAGGGCATTTATAGAGATTAGTGGGAGAAAAAAAAGAAGAAGAACCTTTGAGATCACTGTCAAGGAAAAATGATTTAAAGATTATTGGGAGGCTTCACAGGAAGCAGACTGAGGAGGTTCCATTCACAGATATTCTACTCATTGGTGTCTTACCTGGGATGAGGAGTGGAGCTGGGAGGTTGCTGAGTGGCTCAAACTCCTATTTTCAAATGAAGGTTTGAATTTAATCTGCAGGTTCAGGTGGAGTCAAGTTAAGGTTCCTAGAATCTGGAAGAAAGGAAGGAAGGCAGGGATTCCAAATGGTTCTAACTCCTTCAACAAGACAGTGATTTGATTAGAGGTGCTACATTACCTGATGATGTTCCAATTGGCCCTCTGAAGTTAGTGCAAGAATTTACCAGGATTATTTTTAAGCTCTTCATGCTTTATGATGACAACTTTTAGGCAGAAACTGGTTTTATTTTCCAGGACCTGGCTACTGCTCATCCTGCCAAAAAAGTATTCAGTGACCATGGTGTTACTGAACTGACCAAGAAACTCGTCTTATCTTAACCCCGTCAAAAAGAAGATGAAAGATATCAGACCAGCAATGCTGGTGAGCTAAAAGCTATTATCTAAGGACCCTGAGCTGCCATTGCACTTCAATAGACCCACAGGCTGATCTTCTCCATGTCCCAGCGCATTGACGCAGTAATTGATGCAAAGGAAGGCGCGATTATAACAAATCACTTTCTAAAGTAAAAGACAAAAAATGCTGGACTTCAAATTTTTTTTAGATGCAACCAGTTTGTCAACGTCTATTATTGCTCTTAGGCCTAAATCTTGTCCGCCACTTTTAAGTATTTTTTGGTCTGCTGAACAAATACACTTAAAACTCCAGGAGGAATTTGGAGTGCGTCCATTTAAATGTTCTGAACACATTTATACTTAACTTATGCATGCAGTGGTAGATCATGCTGGTTAGATTTTCTTATCATTTCTTTAGGGTACTTGGTGTCCTGAATTTACTACCATGTTCTCATTCATTAGGACACATAACAGTATTTGCTCAGGTGATGTTTGTGCGGCTGGAAATGTTTTATTTTTGTAGTTGCCTCATCAAAAAGATGGGATAAATTTAACCATTGTGATTCTATGTGGAAAGAAAAAAAAATAAAATTTGAATATGCATCCATGGTGCCTGAGAGGTTTTCCACAGCGCTTTAAAATGGGCCTCTGCTTCCATGGAATTCCCATATGCAAAAGAGCTGGATGCTATTCTCAGAGCCTGGTCACGCCATGAGCCATTGACAAACAATAAAGGCCCTCCCCTTTTGTGACCCGTCTTACAGTCGAGGAAATAAGCCTGCTACAGGTATGTTTTCCAGCTGGGGTGGCCAACTTTCCAACCGCAGGGAAATACAAACTCTCCCTATGCACGAGGAAAGACAATCCCACTTCAGAGAGTCCTGGGGCACACCTGGGGATCCTCTGATGATTTTCATCTATATTAAAGTCAGAGGAAACCATTGGTTTTAGACATTTGTAACAGAGTATGGATCAGGCAGTGACGCTAATTTCAATTCACCAACAGAGTAGAACCACAGAGGATGATAAAATTGTTATTCTGCATCAAACCACTCTCAAACTTTTATCTGCTGATGTCAGTTTTTTTTTTGCTTAGATATTACTTTAAATATTTTTTAAATCATCATTTTTGTTTTATCTTGTAATAAAATGAGTCAAAACAAAAAACTGTAAACTTAACATATATTAGAAAGAAATTAATAATTAGCTAAGCTATACATATGCAAATATCTCAACTTGAACTCATCAGAATCCATAACCTACTATTTTATTTTACAAATATGAAAGTATGGTTTGATGTCATCACAGGGCATGGTCCTGCTTCTTTTTTATTAAAACAACAAAGACAAAATTGAATGTGTAATCTTAATACCTAACATATGTAATCTGTAACAAATGTCAACAGTCATCTGATCTTGAAACATAGCAGTAAATAAATGCCCCCTCATTTAGCTGCAGATTTCAGATTCTTATTGCACAGGATTTGAGACCTGTTTGATATTATTTTTAAAGTTACAATAGGGGAAAATATGAAAATAATAATAATACATTCTTAATTTGTCTAGTCTAGGAGGTTTTAAGTAAAACTTTGTTGTTTCTTTAGTTTACAAAACTAACAACCTCTGTATGTTATTTTAAGCTAGAAAAATAAATGTGCAATTATTAAGCCTGCTGACCGTCAGTGTGCAGCAAACATTTCAAAGAACTTTGTTCTGCATATAGAAGTCTAGCCACTCAAGTCATGTTTCTAGCATCGTTTACATCAGGGTTGTCAAACTAATTTTTTTTATCTCAGCGCCACTTCATCAATTTTAAGTCTTGCAAAGGGCCAATTGCATCAGTTCTATATGAAACATTTGATTTAGGTTATAGATTTAGATTATGTTTTAGATGATTATAGATTTAGGTTTTATATCAGCATTAACATGGGTATCTTTGAAACACAACATTATTGTGCCTAAAAATAAACCTGGGCCGATATTAACAACCAATGTTTATTTGCATCCAGTTGCTCTTTTTGTTCCATGAGGGGGAGGACTAGTTACATGGTGTTTGTTCAGTCATGTGATAGTGGTAGTGATGCATCACTGGATTGGATCTGTTCAGCTGAAGCAGAAAAGCAATTCAATTCATTTTAGTTTAATTATATAGCGCCAATTCACAACACATGTTATCTCAAGACACTTTACAGTTCACCAGATCATATATCTAAGGTAGTTCTATGTATTTCCTTTACAGTGACCAAATGGTAGAAAAAATTTATCGATTTAAATGAGTTATTGGGCATAAATACAATATTAACATCAGATATGGAGACAGATTTACACAAATCGGCACCTATCTGCTTTGATTCCATTATTTCATTTAAGCACACATGCCTCTATTCAATGACATGATGTGCCTTTTTTGACTCCTGAGGGCCACATAAACTGCCTTAATGGGCCACATGTGGCCTGCGGGCCTTACATTTGTCACATAGGTTTAAGACCATGAACATTACAAAAGAAGTATTTCAGTTTTGAAACGGCACTTGGGATACCTTTATATGGTGACCATCCAAATTCCACTCAAGAGGTAACTGAGATTGTAAATAAGATAACCTGGTTTTAAATCTTAAACAAGTAAAAAAAAAGTCTGAATGAAATGAGTCAGGATTGTAAAAAAAAAAAAAAGATTTGATTGTCCAAAAATAAATTCCTCATGCTGTCCTGCTACTCGTCAAAATTGGTCAGTCTATGCTTAGAGACTAAAAGAGACACTTTAGCATAAATACTTGCATTTGGCAATAAGACATGCAAGATCAGCGGCTGCTCTGTTTGTGTAACCCCCCCAAACACCAGGCATGATTCAGACTATTTCTCCCACACACTCTGTTTACACTTATGCTTCATTGAGTACTATTAATTTCTCAGTTCTGTGTGTGCTAGCACTGACATGCCATTCTGTATTTTCTGAATATATTCCAAGAGGCGTATGTTTTGTCGAGGATTGTTTTGTTTTTGTTTTGTTTCTTTTAACAACAGGTACTGAACATGAATCACTCAGTTTAATATTGGAAATTGCATTGATAGCAGTAGTTTATTTATTTTGGATGTAAAAGTTAAAAGCTGTGATTAAGTTTATTTCTTTGTTTGTTACACAAAATGTTTTAGTGTAACCAATTTAATCATTGGGGGGGATTTTTTTTAGGAGGCAACAAGTAAGCTTTTTTTCACAACTTTGCAGGCTGGTGAAAAACACGAACCATGACGCGTTGTCCACTGTCATTTTTTTAACAGTCTGTGGCTTCCGATCACTTTTCCACTACTACTACTACGACAGCCTCACCCGGAACTCACATGTCCATATACAGACGTGGAGGGGCGGGGCCGGACACTGCCTTATTTGGAGTTTCCACCCGACCTACTGCTTGGGCTCCAAGTCAAAGCAAGTCTGTGCAAAGCTATGCAATATGTACAAGTGATTAACTCCGTCTATTACTGCCTTTGTTTGACAATGTGGCTGCTTTTAAAAGAGTTTGCCAGCTGCTTTTTTGCAATGCTGTGCTGCAGAAAGTGTGTGCAAGTTCACAGAGAGACAAGGAGAGACTAAGTCCTGTCTGAACTGTTCAGGACAAGATGGGGCCTGATTGTGAAGTCATCAAAACATGTTTAAAAATATTAATGCAATATATTGTGGGAAACATAATCTGAAATCATGACACGGAGTGTGAGTGACAGACTTTATAGTCACAACACTCCCCAGAAGGTATCACAAGGACTGAAAATAATCAAGATTAGAGGCTGCCTTTATTTCACAAGGACAGACAACGAATAGAAGAAGGACGCAGCTGGATCTGCTATCTCAGTTTTTGTAAACTTAGATATCTCTCTCGGAGCCTTTTGCCTCCACTGTAGTTTCCACTGACTGACGCGCGGAGAGCCTTCTGATGGGCGCCCATGTCCATATATGGTCATCTACGTCACACAAATGTTCCATCCCACTATTTAATACGGGTAAACTGGAGTCCCCTATCCAGCTCCAATAGAGCAAGCAGAGCTGCTCCTCTTGTTCAAGCAACACCACCATCATCTCCTCCTCCTCCTTTATTGATTCACAGACTTGAAATTCCCTCACAAGCAACCCGTCAGCTTCCACAGTGATCAGATTAATAGCAACAATAGGCTCTGTGCGCTAAGAAGGGAGATAACCGGCTCTGCGCGTCCTCCGCGGGATACTTTGGATAGTACAGCACCGGAATCCATCCTGCTCCTGACTCCAGCGCCCGGGCAGCACCTGTGCGTCTCTCCGTCTGGTTACCTGGATACCTGCGCGCTGTCCTCTGTAAATGTCGGACTGAATATAACTGCTATGACAGGGAAACTAGCGGACAAGATCCCTCTTACCATGAGCAGTTTAATAAACGCGATCCCCGACAGTCTGTACCCGGAGGAGGACATCCCCACCTCTATGAACATTTTCACCAGCACGGAGCCTATAAACCACTATTCGCAGATGAATACAGGTAAGACTTTAATCCATGCTTCAGTTTAGTCGCTCTGTTTAAAGCGGTTCAAAGTGAGATGAGCGAAAACGGCAACAGTTGTCTTCGGGCTCGGAGCACCTGTTTGCGCTCTCACTCTGTTGCGCACGGAGGCAGGTTCATTGGTACCCACACTTTAGAGAGGCCAGGTGTGCAAATCAGTGAGTCAACCCACTAAAATATAGATATAGAAGTAATGTTTGCAGTGTGATTGTTTTTCAACTTTTATATAGGCTATATATATTTCATAAACGTCTCGAGTAGAATCATCAGAATTCAAATCATAGCGTAAAAAACGCATCGTCTGAAACTGATTTCCAATCTAAAAACACTAAAAAAAAATAGTGCAAAAAGAAACACATGTGCAAGGAAATACTCTCAAGTTGTGATTTAACTTTTTTTAAAGCTGAGAACTTTTTTTATTTTGGTGGAAAAGCGCTTCCAGGATGATGATTGAATCTGTGGAACAAAATCTGGAAGCGTGGATAATGTGCGGTTAGACCAAAGTGCCTCAGATTTGATATCCACTTGCAAAAAAGGGGGGGTAAGCTACTTAAAACAATGACTTTCATTCACAACTCTATTAACAGTGTTTTAGTAGGCGTGTGCGGGGGCTTTCTCCTATATGAAACGCGTTCAAAGCGCATGGCCCGTGCGTTACCTTAGATTTAGGAAATTGCAACAGCGGCTTTATTATTTATCGCATTCGCTCAATCAAAATTATTTCTACATTTTGGTCCTTATATTCAGCTCATCGTCTTCTTTTGACGCATTTGAGAATTGGATAAATAGGTAAAAAATGTTATATCAATTATACATATAAAGATTATTTGTTGAAGAGGCAGAATTATGCTGAGAAAAATAGGAATCCTAGAATTCCCCTATAATATTTCCCTATAAAACACACGCGTGTTTTAATCTAGAGTTCATAAAACGTAGTTTTAATAATCGAGAGATTGCTCTCCTTTATTTTATCCCAGTGCGCGTTTAAATTATCAAAACACCATGTGGTAAAATAAGCTTATTTTTACTGGCAGTTCAACACGAGCGAATCAGGGTGTGCAGGATCAAAACACATTTTTATTTACGCAATAACCCCTGCGCGCTAATAAAGGGTTTAATTTAGAATATATATATATATATATATATATATATATATATATATATATATATATATCACAGCTAGAGGAGTGTTTTTGTTGTATTTCTGTTGAATTTTATTTAATTTCAGTTCACACACTCATAACATTCTTATTTGGTGTTAAAGGAAATTAAACATTTGCTGTGATTTAATAGTTGGAACAGGTGTGTGAAAAGGTTTGACTTTAATTTTGCGTCTAAAATTCCAATCTTAGTGGTTAAAAAAAAATAAAAATATTAAATATAATATAAACTTAATTATTAAAAGTACATATAAAGATTAATTTTATAAAGATTACGTTTCATTAAATGAAGATTATGTTTCATATTCATAAATGCATAGAAAAAGAATCCATATTTATTCACATGTCAAATAGTATTTTCCAAGACTTGTTTTTATTCCTCTAAAAGGCTTTACCAGTCAAATGTCAGTGGCCTTTTATTACTGAGAGTGAATATGAACACCTCACCCACAAGATGAAAAAAGTCTATTTTAAGTTCTTATTCAGACGTAATTCTGTTAAAATTCTTACATATTTACCCTAAAGAACACGGCTATCCCTGAAATTTATCACTTGTAATATATCTGTAATTGTTCTTTAAAGCTTCTTTAAAAGGAGCGAGAGCATAAGGGAATTGCTGTAAATGTTTCTATAATAATAATAATAATATTAAAAACAGAAGAAAAATATTATGACGAAACACTGAAATTTCCCTCCAGATGTTCCTTTTTTTA